GGCAAGCAGCTCCCAACAATATGGTTAATATTCAATATTTGCCTTTTGAATATAAATTTTTCAAGGATCTTAAAGCTGCTGTCGCTCCATAGGGTCCCCAATCCCCTTTTGTATTCGCTATGTTAGATTCTATAGGGAAAACAAAATTGGTTCTTCCCCTGGATTGGGAAGCTATAGCTCAGGCTGTGCTTGAAGGATCCCAATGGTTACAATTAAGGAGCTGGTGGGAAGAGGAAGCCCGAAAGCAGGCTCGAATTCATGAGGGGCAGAACTCTCCTGGTCCCCCGGAGGATAAACTGATGGGAGAGGGACAATTTCGAGCCCTAAGAGATCAGGCTCGATATTCTGACCAGGATTGACAACAGGTGCGCCAGGTATTTCTTAGGGCTTGGCGCCGTGGTGTACCTACTGGCCACGCTCAGCCTTCTTTCACAAAAACTTGACAAGGACCCAATGAACCCTATACGGATTTTCTTGCTAGATTGCGGGTGGCTGTGGAGCGGGCTGTTGTACGTGATGAAATCTCGGAGATACTTTTGCAGACACTTGCTTTTGGTCATGCAAATCCGGAATGTAAACGTGTTTGGGGCCCTTTAAAGGGGCAGGGAGCTTCTAGAGCTGAATATATTAGAGCTTGTTCAGGAGTGGGAGGAACTGAACATAATGCTGCTGCTGGTTTCGCTACTGCTTTGGCTCAGGCTAGGAAGCCCTCTAAGGGCGGACATTGTTACCATTGTGGGAAGCCTGGACATATGAAAAAGGATTGCAGAATATTGAGGGCAAAACAAGGATATACAAAATGAAATTAGCCCCTTGGGCTTTGCCGCCGATGCGGCAAGGGGCTTCATTGGACCAATGAATGTCGTTCTAAAACTGATAAATACGGCAATCCTATTGGCAACCCACATTCGGGAAGCTACTTAGCGGGCCTCAGTCCCCGGGGCCCAAGAACAATGCCGGGGACTCAATTGGCTGCGCCTCCCACTCCTCAAGGAACCCCTTTGGTTTCCAACAACCCTTAGAGATGACTGCTACGTCAGGAATAGCCAAATCTTTAATGGTGTCGGATTTACGCTCTGCAACTTCAGGGAGTGCGGCTGCTGATGTGCCTCTCACGGAAAATATGCTTTTGTCTCGGGGAGGTGGCATTT